TCTATTTATTTCGAGAAGAGAGAAGAAGACAGCAAGTGCCATAGCGATAAGGATAACAATCTCTATCCGTTACCAGAGTTCCAGCCCACAGAACTCTCACCATAGTCAAAGTCTATTCTAAAAAGAAATTGACTTATACATATTTTATAAAAAACATCGAAAATATAGTAAATGTTGGAGAGTATTTTGGGAAAAACAAAAATAGTGTATTTATGTAATAGATATTCACTTCATAAATCCGGAAAATAAACTTTCAGTGAGTGAGATGTTTATTTTGAAAATAATACTATGAAAGTTTTCCCGGAGAATGATATACGCTTTGAACTAAACATTTATTTTTAATTTGCATCATACACTTTTAAAGTACCTATCAAGTAGCTGTTCACTAGTGTAACCAAGAACTTGTGTAATTAGCTCAAAAATACAATTAATTGATGTGACTACATCTAGTCAGAAATCACATTTTGTTACAATTCAGTCTGGGTAACAAGGGCTGTGAGTAAAAAAAATAGAAAAGAGTTTGTTCGATGTTGTCAAGTCACCTATATAATCAAGTCTAGTAATTGTGAAAATAGTTGTTAGTTTTTTCTCTTGGCTAAAGTTTATGTACGTTATTTATTGTAATAACAGTATTGTGAGTAATTTTCAGACCTATTTATTTCACTAGTGATCAACGGCTTCAGATTTCAACAGGTTTTGCGCAGAATTACTTAATCCTGGAAGGATTGCAGTATGGTATAAGGGCAAGTAGGTACAAGCGTAGGCACAAATGCTTCATCAAGTAATACTGATAAAATAATAGAAGCACAAGCTGTTGATGCAGCAAGGCTTGAAGATGAAAAGGCCAAAACCAAGTTAATCCTGATGATTGATCTTAGTCTATATTCTATATGTCCATATTAAGTGGGCAATTACAGCCAGAGACTTATGGGAAAAGCTAAAGACCATGTTTGATGATAGTGGGTTTACCAGGAGAAATAGCTTTGTTGCGATTTTTAGTTTCTATTAGGTTAGAAACATTTAAGTCAATGGCCAGTTACATTAACCAGATAGTAGAAATCAGTCAACGTTTGCGAGGCACAGGCTTCAATATTGATGAGGAGTGGGTAGGCTCGCTGATACTTGCAGGATTGCCTGACACTGACAGATTTATTCCAATGATTATTGCAATTGAACATTCGAGCATAGCAATCACAACTGATGTTATCAAAACAAAACTTCTAGATATGGCAGGCAGTGAAGTCAGTAATGCAGACAGTGCATTTTATACAAAAGGTTGCAAACCATTTCATAAAAAAAAGCAGGAGATTTCAACTAATGAAAATAAGGATAGGTTGAAAAAAATACAGTGTTTTAACTGTAAAGAATATGGACATTATAAATCAAACTGTATAAAACCAATAAGAGAGCACAAACATAGTAATAAACAAGGAACAAAAATTGAGAATGCTTTCAGTGCAGTTTTTTTAAGTGGTAGATACAAGAAAACAGATTGGTATATTGACAGAAGCGCAAGAGTGCATATGGTGTCTGACATTCAGCTAATGAGTGAAAAATGTCCTTGCCCTATAAAAGAAATATTGGTGGCCAACAACACAGTAATATGTTGTGGTGATGTCAAGCTTAGCACAATTGTCAATACCGAGTAACATGACATAATTATTCAGAAAGCTCTCTGTATGCCAGATCTTACCACCAACTTACTATCGGTAAGTCAATATTCAAAAACGGTAATAAAGTTATTTTTGATTAACAGCATTGTAAAATTTACAACAAGCAGACTGAGCTAGTAGCAGTAGCTGACTTAGTTAATGACGTCTACAAGGTAAACATTTGCTCAGAAAAATGTTTTTTAACAAGCAGCAAAAACGTGGCATAAAAGACTTGGTCACTTGAACAGTGCAGACCTAACGAAGATGAGAAATGGTACCGTAGAAGGTCTAGAGTGCACTGAGAAGATAGACATTGGAAAGTATAACTGTACAACGTGTTGTGAAGGTAAGCAGCATAGATTGCCTTTTTCAAAAGATGCTGAGCAAACAACAAATGTTTTAGATTTAATACATTTTGACCTATGTGGCCCAATGGAAATTAAGTCCATGGGAGGATCGAGATATTTTTTGAATTGGCAGGATGACCATTCAAACTGGATTTGTTTAGTTTTTGAAGTAAAAAAATCAATTATCTGATCGTATCAAAGAATTTAAGAATCTTGTAGAGAACCAACAAAGATTTTGAGATCAGATAATGGTGGTGAGTTTATCAATAATGAGATGAATGCTTTTCTTAAGAAAAGTGGTATAATTTACCAGCGAACTCATACACTCCAGAACAGAATGGAGTTTCTGAACGGCTAAACCGTACCATAGTGGAGCGGGCAAAGTGTTTATTATTCGAGCAAACTTAGAAAAAGAGTTCTGGGCAGAGGCTGTCAACACTGCCATTTATTTACGAAATAGATCACCTGCGCCTGGTTTGCCTGATAATAAAACACCTTTTGAAATTTGATATAACAAAAAAAAACAACAGTAAACCATTTGAGAATCTGCAGCAGCACAGTTATGGTTCATATACCAGAAGAGAAACGATTGAAATGGGACAAAAAGGCAGAAAAGAAGATTTTCATGAGTTACAGTGAAAATGTGAAGGCATATAGGGTTCATGATCTGGTAACAAATAAAGAATCTGTCAGCAGAGATGTGATAGTATTGGAAAATTACAAAGAATATGCTACAGAACAGCAAGATGTTGCAGAGGAGGTACTAGTTCCAGTAGGGGATCAATCACAAGTCCAATGTGAGCCAATTTATATCCCTATCATAGAAAATGAACAAGAACCTGGAAATTTGAGTAGCAATAATAATTCTACAACCAATTATGACAGTATATCCGATGAAGACATTCAAAACAGTGACAGTGACGTGTTGGATGAAGAAAATGAAGAAAACTGAACCAGAGATAGAGGTCTCACCAACCATGCGATAACAGCGAGTACCTAAACCAAAACACTTCGATGAATTTGTATTCTACATGTGTACCAATTCCAGTTTGGAAGATGATCCTCAAAGTGTAAGAGAAGCGATGTCCACAGCAGATTCAGCTCAGTGGCTACACTCAATTGAGGAAAAAATTAACGCATTTCATGAAAATAGTGTGTGGGAAGTGGTGAATGTTCTACAAGATCGTAGAGTGTCTGTAGTTCAGTGTAAATGCATTTTTCGCAAGAAAATAGACGCAGGAAATACTGTTAGATTTAAAGCGAGATTGGTAGCGAAAGGTTTCACGCAGAAATAAGGAATAGACTTTGATGAGACCTTTAGTCCAGTTGTAAGACATTCGACCTTACGTATGATGATTGCATTGGCTGTGAAATTATAATTAGATATCACACATTTGGATAGTTAATATAGTATTTATCTCTGTAGTAATTGTAAAAAAAGTTGTTAGTTTCTTCTCTCGACTAAAGTTTATATAAGTAATTTATTGTATTAACAGTTGTGAGTAATTTTCAGACTTATTTATCCCACTAATGATCAACGGCTTCAAATTTCAACAGTACTGACGTAAAGTTTGAATTTGATATTTTATTCTGAACATTTTACCGGACTCGACACCGGTTTATCAGTGGACGGTTGGTTAGTTTAGCTGTCGGTTAACTAATAATTAATAATGGATAACTGACAGCTAAACTTAATATCCGTTCACTGATAAACTGGTCCTCAGTACTGTAAAAGTTCATTTTCCGTACTAAAACTAAGTACTTGGAGGTGTGTTTTACGATACAGTATGAATAATATTAGATATGTTGTAAAACTTCTTCTTAAAGCATAGCGAACTTTTATATGCAATAAAAGTGGCAACATTGTTTTTCAAAATGATAACAATATGTTGCTTGTTGCCAATTTTATTTTTAAAGGTATTTTTCAACTATGTATAATAGGAAGCCTAAATGAATGATAATCGAGATAGCCACCAAACGAACACTAACATTTGGCAAACTGGTTTTCATTTCAATCAAAAATCCCAAATTTTCAGTTGGAGACTTTTTGTTTATATACATATAGGTATCAGGGCAATCATAATCTCCCCAGATTTTCATAGCCTCCCATTTTTTAGTTATGTTGAAGTTCGTAAATCGTAATGACTTTATTATATACCTGTCGTGAAAAATTAACGATACAAGGTCGTCAAGTGTTATAATAACACTCGGTCTACAACCTGGTATTATTATTTTTTTCACGGCAGTATTATAATGAAGTCGATACCAGGTCGTAGACCGAGTGTAAAACACTTGATTTATGATCTTGTGTCATTTATGTTATACCTAGTATGCATACCTGCGCGCATGTACCTACCTCAAAACATTTTATCTACGACTGCGTTAATTTAGAAATCAAGCGATTAGGTGCCTTATGCATAATTATTTTTCCTCTCAAGTGCAGATCATAGCATTTATCGCATTGTCAAAAACGTACCTACACAAAGCTTTTATGTCGACATGAAAGTAACTAAAGTCATATACAATGATCCATCATCAGTCAATAGTCAATTTCAGATAAAAATTACAAACGTCATTCTCCGCAACTTTTTGTGTCAATCCTCTAACGGTAAAATACCTAGTATATAAAAAAAAAATATTCCATGATAAGTGAAAACTATTATTATCGAATGTCAATACTGCCAATGGAGAAAGGCAAATTACCTACAAATGTGAAATGTGACATCATCAGTTCAAAGTCAGAATGTACCATTTCCAAACTAGTTGAAAGATGCTACAAAAATGTTGCGGTAAAGTGCACTTTTCAACACGCTTGTAAGTGAAATCAACTCACTCATCAGAAGTGAATTAAATGAAACATTCTGTTTATTGGATAATCAAAGCCAGCTATTATTTTATCAATTTAATCGAAAGCCTTCCGTTCGATAACACGTTTTCATTGTCAAACGAACATTAACAGCAAAGAAATACTTAATCAACAAATGACAAAAAAATTACTTACCAGAACTAGGTCTATCCGAATATCTAGTACAATAAACCCATGCAGGCCACAATTTCGGTACATTCTTCTCGTCCTTCTTGCCTTCTTCCGGACTCATCAAACTCTGAGTCGAACTCTTCGAAATCAAACTGCTACCGCTAATGGCGCTAATACTGCTTCCAGTCGGTGATGGTAAATTGATCATCGCGGTATTATTATTATTATTGCCCGTAGATCCAATTTGACTTACGGTTTGACATAGGGAGCCCAACGGTGCCATCGCATTTTCGTAAGGTCGAAAGCTTATTTTGGTAGACGGTGCTGATTTGGTTTTCAATACGGCACTTTTGCCAAAATCTGGCTGCAAAATGTTCCTTATTGAATATTTTAGGGTTTGAATAACTGGTTCAGGTGACATGCTATTGGCTTCACTATCGGGTGACGGTGATCGGTAGCTCAACGGTGAATCCCTATCGCACTCACGTTTTGGACTTGGCAAAGCAAACGACGTTATCCTGAAGAAGGACCGCTCGTGGTGTTCGATTTTCGGAACCATTGGAGAATCGGGCGGACTATAATCTTGACTGTTTGATATCGTCCTGCAAGTATATGGAGATGTTCTGGTACTTTCTGGAGAATTTGGTGTGTTCAAACTATTGCCACATTCACTCGTACAAGGACTGGTTGCTGTATTTGGACTCGATCTATCTTCAAATGCCATTTCAACACAACAATCACAAACCGAAAAAAAAAAAACAAAATGTTCTATGGCACTCTTGAGTGACACTTGACTCTTGCAACGCGAGTGAGTGTTTACCAGCAAAACGGATCTGTCAAACTGAAGTGAGATTTCAAAATAGTCATCTTTATTACTGGGACACCCTGTGATCGGTATTGCTCCGCCCCCCAAGACATGCGCTCGCTGTTGACTCGCTCTATTGCACTTTTCGTAGGAGAGGGGACGGATTGAGCTTCCTTCAAAGGTTCGGACTTGTTCCTTATTCGCTCGCACTCGAAGCGAGCTAATTAAGTTCGTCTTTATCGTCGCGGTTGCAGCATGGCTGGGCTCAGTGTTTTTTTGCGACTGTCGTATCGATTAAGTTTCGCTTAATTTTTTTTTCGTTGATGCATCAATAATTGATTTCGGCCGAGAGGCCCTAATAGAGGCGTTTTGAAAAAGATACGTTCTAGTCGAATCTTGAAAAAGTTGAATAACTTTGGGTATATATATAGACTGGGTAATTGGTTTTGATGAGTAGGTTTACATCTTGGAACTTGTAAGTAAAATAATTCTGACTTTTTGCTTTTGTTAATGTTTTTGTTTATGAAACTTGTTTTCACAAGTAATTTTCACATGCATTTTCATGAAATCCCATAGATTTACGAACATTGGTGTTTATGGAGGTATTTGGTGTTTAATCTTGATCAGTGAAAATCCAGTGTTGATCACATGAAAAGTTGCGAATGATTTTAAATGGAAATCAAATAAGGTTCATTTCATGAAGATTTGTACTTTTGGCAACGATAATGTCATAAAAAAAGGTTTGTCGTAGATTGATTCATATAAATTCGTTACTGTTCATTTCTTGTATTGTATTGAATGACTTCTGGTTTAAAAACCGACGAACGGTTTTGACGTCATTAATTTATTTCAGTCAATTTTTATTTGTTGAAAAAGGAAGGCAAGTACAAACACTCGTGAAACAAACAGTACTTACCTACTTTGCTGCTCAACTTTTTGTATGTTCAACTATGGGGTGTTGAAGAGTGCTTTGAAGCTGCGGCTGTGGCTTCTAAGTCTGTGATTTATATAGACCAAATAATTAACACTTTGTTATTTTTAAAGTAATTTTTATTATCCAAGCTGCATGCTACAAGAAGTGAACAAGTACAAAAATGTCACCCAACATAACCTATAGGATATTTTCCTATTAGGCAATTCAATCCATCTGTCAAAAAGGAAAATTCAATGTGGCGTGGCGGCCAAGCAAGTTTGTTTTGAATATGTTTTTATGCGTATTTTAAATTATGTTGCATACAGTTTTGCTTACAACTTTGATTTTCATTATTTAATAAAATATTTGTTGGCTAGGTACCTAAACTATTAATTCGGGCAGAAGCTAGATATTTTTGTGTGTTTTTTGGCCCATGTGTGGCCGCCACGCCCTCTTGAATGTCACGTGGTTTGAATTGCCTAATTGCAAAATCAAGATCACTCAATAGGCTTGACAAACAAATCCTTTTTTATGCTGCCTCAGCTAATGCAACATACTCTGCTTCGGTAGAAGAAGTAGCTACAGTTGCTTGCTTCTCCGTAGACCAGCAAACTGTACCACCAAATACTTTAAATAAATATCCACTAGTTGATTTCCTATCAGATTCGTCACCTGCCCAATCAGCGTCTGCTTATCCGAGTAAACCAACACTTTCCAGAGAAAAACAAAGTTCTCAATTTATGGTTCCCTTAAGATATCTTAAGATGTTTTTAAAATTTTTCCAAAGCTATTCGGTTGTTGTGCTTTGATATCCACTACAAAAGTTTACTGATGCACTTAAATCAGGTCTTGTAGCCAATATAATATACATTAAGCACCCAACTCATTTTCTTACAGGTTTATTTACAGCAGGTGGACTATCATCATTAATTTTTAAATTACCAATTTCTAAAGGTGTGCTAACTGGTTTACAGTCACTCATATACTGAAACGTTTTAATTATGTAATTCTTTTGATTTAAATAAATGCCATTTTTGATTTCTTTTTACATTTATACCTAAGAACGTTTTCAAATTTCCAAAATCTGGCATATCAAATTTCTTGATCAAGTTTTACCTCTACCTGATTTTACTTCCAACATTCCTCGATAAAAAAAAATGTCATTTACATACAGCAACACATAATAGTTATTAATGATACAAGTTCGATATGAACGACATAATGAAACGCGTGTAACGTTAAACCACGAGGCGTTAGCCGAGTGGTTTAGTTACACAAGTTTCATTAATAAAGTTCATATCGAACGTGTATCATTCAAAATTTAATCTACAATGGTCCAAATAGATTTGATTTGCCTTGAAATGGCAAAAACTTTTCAAATTAAAATTTGAAATTTAGCAGGTGCCCGTACTAGTCGAGAACCTGCTTGTTGGTTTTTAGAATTTTGACTTTGGCAGCTTCAATATTGGAGTCCATTTTTGTGCCATAAATTCAATTTTATAGTGGAAAATAATATTATTATTGGTGATTCTGAGTTCGAAAGTGTCTCTTCGAATATAGAGACAGCATTATTGAAAAGGTTCTTCTGGCAACTAACTTTATTTTTGTATATTTTTCATTTCAAAATTTGGGTGTTATTATGAATTCTTAAACGCACTAGTGCTATTATGAAGGACCTAATGACATTCAATTGACAATGCTAAATGTGTCATAATGACACCGACGTAGATTATAGTTATTTATGATATAAGTGCTAAAAGTGACATTTTATTTTGTGAAAAGGGAAGTTTGGGACCCGACGCCAAAGGCGGAGTGTTCGATCCCTTTGAACAAAATAAAATCACTTTTAGCACGAATATCATACACTATTTTTTCTACAAACGCACTAGTGCTAAAAGTAATCACTTTTAACACCAGTGTCATAAAATGGCATTTTAGACACTGACAGCATCCGTTAAAAATTACACTTTTAGTGACGTTTGTAGAAAAATAACTTTATTGTCTGACTGATTAAAATAAAGACAAGGATCATTGGTAGACCTACTAAACTTTTCCTTTCCTGCAAATTCATTGAATCGTTCATTCCAGTAAAATGGAACTTGTTTAAGTCCATCATATAGTGCTTTATTAAGTACCATTTCCTCTTGAATATTTGTAAAGCTCCCATCAGAAATTGACATATATATGTCTTCTTCATTGTCCCATATGTAGAAAAGCGGATTTCACCATCCATATGTTGAATTTTCATGTTTTTAAAATTAGCAACAGCCAATAAAGTTCTCACCGTACTTAATCTCGAGATAAGCGCATGAGGTCAAAGCCCTCTTTCCTCTTTCTGCATAAATCCTATGGCAACAAGTCTAGCCTTGTACTTTACTTTATTTCCTACAAGCATCATTAGTTTTAATTCGGAACACCCACTAACAATCTATTAACCTAACATTTTCAGTTTCAGGTCTTTCCACTAGTGTCCAAGTATTATTTTTGATTTAAGAGTTACCTACTGCATTTTTCCAAAACTTGTACTCAGAAGACTCTTTGCTCTCTCTAAACTAACAAGCAAATCGTCAACAAAAGTTCGAGTGTTTAAGGCCATATACTCATCATTCAAAATATAATCATCATAATTTCTTTACTCTTTTTTCTTTCAGTTTCCTCTTTACGCTTTTCTATATACCTACTATCTTAATATCTATATTTTAATTTTCACTTGTCTCACGCTCATACTCTCATTCATCTCCTGTTCATGTTCATTCATTCCTATTTCCTTTTCGCCTATAACATCAATGCTTTCAAAGCTATCAGCATACAAGTGAAGTAGTACCTGAAGAAGTATTTCTTTTTAAGTTACTTATATTTTAAGACTCATCAAAATTACATTCCTAACTGTTTTAACATTTTGTTTGATAGGATTCCAAACCCTTCAACCATTATTAGCATACCCTATTATGATATAAATCTCACTTCTAGGGTCAAACTTAGATTCCTGCCTTTCTTTGGGTATAATGATAATAAACTAAACTACGAAAAACTTTCAAGTTCTTCAAATCAGGTTTTACATTATAGAACATCTCAGACAGAGTAACATTTTTTAGGGAAGCAGTTGGTGAACCATTTAGCAAATAATTTGCACAGAGAATTGATTTCCCCATAATAATGTAGGCAGCTTTGATTGCAATATTAAAGCCCTACCCTTTTCCAATAGCGTCCTATTGAGTCGCTCAGCGCTCCCATTCATTTCCGGGTTGTAGGGGACAGAGCGTACCTAAACCTAATGCCCTCGAACTTGCAAAAACCAATAAATTGATTGAAACAGTATTCACTGCCATTATCACATTGTGTAGAACCAATCATGTAGCCAGTAAAGTTAGTAACAAAAGCCTCATATTCCTTAAAACACTCAAAAATTTCACCCTTATTTTTAATATAATATATTACACTAAAATGAATAAAGTCATCTAAGAAGTACCCATCATTGTTTACCATGTGGTCAGTTGCATCAGAGTCAACAACAAATTTTACAACATTCCGGTTCATCGGTGTCTCACAAAACCATTCTTGTAGTTGCGATGAATGCAATGAACTCATTTTTCTTCTCGGTACTTGCTTCATTGGCTTGTCTCCTATTTTCATCTTGTGTATTTACGCCTCAATTTAACTAACAATTTTTCCTAAAATGTCCAGGCTTACCACAATTATTGTGAGATGTAAATTTTTTTTGCTCATTATTATTGCTCCTTGAGTTTTTCAAAATGTTCACACGGCCATTTGCACCGCTATTACTTAAGGGATATTTAATCCAAGTGGCGCTTTGAATGTTTCTACGAGAGAAACAAAAGTCACATTCAAAAGTTCCACTTAAATTAAGTATGCCTTATGGCCGTTTCCACCAACTATTTTAGGGAAGCCTTAACGATAAGTATTCCCTAAACTGACAGTTTTCCATGGAGAAATGTCAGTTTAGGGAATACTTATCGTTAAGGCTTCCCTAAAATAGTTGGTGGAAACGGCCATTAATATCCCTTAAGTGATAGCGGTGCAAATGGCCATCTCAGACTGGTACCTACTGTATACTGCTACGTTTCTTGCATTAACTTCTTCCATTTGTGTAAAAT